GCAAAGGTCAGAGGCAGTAGCTTTCTGCCACCTCCCTCCCCACTTTTTAAATCATAGTAAGGCTTAGATTTTTAAAGCATTTCACTTGGTAAAGAAATAAGGGTTGAAGTTGGGTGGAATAGAATGAGTAGAGGCCTATAGGGGGTCAGAATTCAATTCCGACATCTAGAAGCTCCATAACATGGATAGAGTCTATAATGTCTCTGCGACTCAGCTTCCTCATCTGTCAATACCCACTTGGCTGAATCATTGAGAGATTAGAAATGAATATAAACTGAGCTCACACCTGTAATCTCAGCACTTTGGGAGGCCAGAGTGGGAGAATTGCTTAAGGCCAGGAGTTTGAGACCAACCCTGGCAACATAATGAGACGCTGTCTGTACGAAAGGAAAAATATAAAAATTAACTGAGTGTGGTGGCACACCCCTGTAGCCCCAGCTCCTCAGAGGTCTGATGCAGGAGAATCGCTTGAGCCCATGATCTTGAGGCTGAGGTGAGCCAGGATCATGCCACTGAACTCTAGTCTGAGTGACAGTGTAAGGCCCTGTTGCTTTATTTATTTATTTAGAGACAGAGTCTCACTCTGTTGGAGCAAGTGCAGGCTGGAGTGCAGTGGTGTAATCTCAGCTCACTGCAAGCTCCACCTCCTGGGTTCAAGTGATTCTCCTGACTCAGCCTCCCAATTAGCTGGAACTACAGACACCCACAACTATATCCAGCTAATTTTTGTATTTTTAGTAGAGACAGGGTTTTGCCATGTTGGCCAGGCTGGTCTTGAACTTCTGACCTCAGGTGATCCACCTGCCTTGGACTCCCAAAGGGCAGGGATTACAGGCTTGAGCCACCACACCCAGCTAGACCCTGTCTCTTTTAAAAGAAAGACAAACGAAATATAAAGCACTTAATCAGTGCCTTGCACCAATGGGCAATCAATAAATCAATGCTAATCATCATTACCATTAATTATGTGATCAATTCCCAGGCTTTGGAGGCTTTAAAATCTTTCTATGTCTTTGGATGTTGCAGCCTTTATTCAGCATACAAGTTTGTTTGGAGCTGGTGGTCAGGGATATGGTATTTTCACTAAGTTAGGGATGGAACTTTGTAAGAAATCAGCATAAAGGAGGACAAAAGAAACAGGCCTTCTAAAGACAGAACATTTACTGCTGAGCAAGTGCTGATGGCTGCCTTCACCAGGTTCTGCTGCAGTGGTTCTCAGCATTTATGTGCATTTCAGAAAGATTACCACTCTCCTCTCCCCAGAGCCTGAATGGGGAAGGTTTGGAACAACCTCAGATTCAGCATTTTTAGGAGCGTCTATGGAGATTTTTAAACAGGTGGTTCAAGGACTCCCTGTCTCTTCTCCTTCCCTCAAATCAGAAACTGCTACTTGTGTCTGCGAGTGAATATGAGATTTGAAAACAACAAAACCACTGCTCCTGAAATGGCCCAGCTCCCATGGCCACGACCCAAAAAGTGGGCCTGATTTTCTTAGGAGGGGAAGAAGTGACCGCTGCAGAGCCCTTGACCATCTCAGTGTCTGGGCTCAAGTGTCCCGCCACCCCCAGCGTCTGCGGGTCACCCCCAGACTGACGCCGTCTCAGTGAGCTAATGCCAGTGTCTGCCCCACGCCGGCTCATTTAATAGCCACTGGAATGATCAATGAGGCCGAAGGCTCGGCCCTCCACCGGCTGCGGTGAATCAGCTGCCTCGGCCATTCCCATCTCCACTGAGCAGGAAGCATTGGAGCTGAGCCCAGGCAGGGCTGACTTGCGTCTGGCTAATGGCTTTTCTGTGTCATGCATTGACCTTGATTCTATATGTTTTTCATATGTGAGTGGGTTGGAGCATCTATAGATGGTCCAGTGGTGGAAGTAGCTCTTCTGCTAAGCCCCTCACCGAGGTCCTGGGCTGTACTTTGGTTTAGGGGTGTCTGCTTCCGAAGCAGAATCAGTGATTTTGTTGAAATTGATGTGAAATTCATGTAACATAAAATCAACCATGTTAAAGGGAACAGTCGGTGGCATCCAGTGCACTCACAATGTCGTGCAAACCACCTCTATCCAAAACACTTCCATCGCCCCAGAAAGAACCTCTGTACCTGTTACATTAGTTTACTACGGCTGCTGTAACGAAGTGCCGCAGACTGGGTGGCTTCAACAACAGAAATTTTGGGCTGGGAGCGGTGGCTCATGCCTGTAATCCCAGCACTTTGGGAGGCCGAGGTGGGTGTATCATTTGAGGTCAGGAGTTCAAGACCAGCCTGACCAACATGGTGAAACCCCATCTCTACTAAAAATACAAAAATTAGGCGGTAGTCGTGCGCACCTGTAACCCAGCTGCTTGGGAGGCTGAAATAGGAGAATCACTTGAACCTGGGAGGCGGAGATTGTAGTGAGCCGAGATCGCACCACTGCACTCCAGTCTGGATGACAGAGTGAGACCCTGTCTCAAAACAAGACAAAAAAACAACAACCAGAAATTTACTTTCTCACAATTCTGGAGGCTGGAAGTTTGAAATCAAGGTGTCAGCAGGCTTGGTTCCTTCTGGAGGCTGTGGGGAAAGGATCTTGTTTGAGCCTCAACCCTTGGCTTAGAGATAGCCGTTTTTCTCTTCACATCATTTTTCTCTATGCCTATCTGTGTTCATGTCTTAATTTCCCCTTATTATAAGGACACCAGGCGTACTGGATAAGGACTTGCCTTAATGACCTCATTTTGACATGATTACCTCTGTACAGACACTATCTCCAAATAAAGTCACATTTGGGGTTACTGGGGGTCAGCACTTCACAGTATGTATTTTGGGGGAACACGATTCAACCTTTTACATCATTAAGCAGTTTCAGTATCAGTACTTCATTCCATTCTATGGCTGAATAATATTCCATTGTAGGTAAACACTTATTTCTGAACCCCAAGTACAAAGCAACTGTCAGTGAAATCTCCACCCCTGGGTAGTGGTGTCCCTTGTTACAGGCTTGTGTGCTCATCTGCATAAGGTGGCATGTTGATCTCACAGGTGTAGCTCATAAATCTGCAATCTGTAAACTTTTTCTTACTCTCTTTGTCCTTGAAAGAGTGTTAGTCTTTATGAGCAACGGTCAAAGCAGTCCTGGACTAAGGGAAGAGAGGTCAAGCTTCTGATCCTAAAATTCATTTTAAAAATTGATTTCAGGCTGGGTGCGGTTGCTCATGCCTGTAATCCCAGCACGTTGAGAGGCTGAAGCGGGCGAATTGCTTGAGCCCGGGAGTTCAAGACCAGCCTGGGCAACATGGTGAGATCCTGTCTCTACAAAAAATAGCAAAATTAGCTGGGCATGGTGGTGTGTACCTGTAGTTACAGCTGCTTGAGAGGCTGAAATGAGAAGATTTCTTGAGCCTGGGAGACGGAGGTTGCAGTGCTAACATCACTGCACTCCAGCCTGTGTGATAAGGGTGGAGACCCTGTCTCAAACAAACGAAAAAACAGGATTTCATCTTTAAATTTCCTTTTTCCTTTTCCTGATCTTATCCCCCTGTGCTTTCCACTTCTCGGGAGAACAGGCACACAGACACGTGCACATATACGCTCACATTAAAAGCATTTTCATGTGACCATTCTGGAGAGGGGTGTGGCACAGATAGGAGGCACAGGCCTTTGAGAAGACCCAGACAGCAGTTTGCTTCCATTGTCATGGTTACTGGGCTCGGTCCCTAGGGCTGGCTGCAGATCAGAGCCTTTCCGAGCTTCTTCACACTCCCATCCCTGCTCCTGCCTCGGAATGAAAGAGAGACCTTCGGGCACATGTGTTTTCTCAGCTGTGAAACTGACTGCACTGTTGACTTGTACATTTCATCTGCCCCCTTAATTTAAGATCTATTTCTGTCTCTTACGCAGGCAGACAGGGGACCTGCATCCCTGCAGGTTCTTGGGGAATAACCCTGAGTCCTCATTCATTTGTTGCAGAGTCAGGCCCCACTCCCCCATTCCAGAGGCATAGATGGTAATGATCCCATGTCTGTCTGTAGGAAGGACGACAGCAGGGTTGCATCATCCTGCGTCCTGACTCTGAGCAGAGTTGTCCCTTACGCAAAAGTTATTTAGTCCCCTCCTTCCTCTTTCTCTCTCTCTTTTTCATCAAATTCATTTTGCCACTTTGAAAGTCCACTGGGGGAAGAAATCCGTGCTCACCCTAGGGTTTTCAGAGAGGCAGGAAGGCAGATGGAACCGTTCATACGTGAAAAAAAGGATAGAAAATGTTCATGCTGTATGTGGCTCCATATGATTTTAGGGTAAGACAGGTGGCTTTGGGGGCCTTGGACTGGAAGGCTCCACGCTCTTCATGGAATTGGATGAAAAGGAGTTAGAGGTACTTTAACTTTTTTAGAGTAGGTGTTCCTCGGTGAGGAGAGGCCTTCGGGGGCTCAGATTCTGAGCCTTGGCTCCATGCATGGTGGGGTCTGGGTCTCCGGAGCTTTGAAAAGCTTCCAAGTGATTCTAATATCCAGCCACCTTTCTTGTAGGGGACAGAGGCCTCCAGGAGAGTTGAGCATTTTGAGAGAGGGGGAGATAGAAGAAATAGGTGATATCTAATCCTCCGTGTTCAGCAATGCCACTAATTAGGCAGAAAGCAGGGGCAAAAATCACATGCCCTTTGCTGTCTTGGGCCAAACAAGCAGGACTTTCGCTCCATTTAGGTCTGTATCCTGCAAAGAGAGACTCCAGGGTCCCCCTTCCCAAGGTTTGGTGGGCTGCCAAACCTTACAGGCTGCCAGCCACCCCAGCGAGCATTTGCCAAGGTGATGTAAAATATTCACGGGAACATGCCGTCTCGACAATCTACTCACAACTGGTTCTCTCTCTAGCTCCAGGAAAAGTAACATTAGGCCCATGTGGCTGCTTTCTCTTCTCAGCAGAAGGTGCTGATGTTATTAGTGCCTTGCCAAGCTGTGGTTGGAGGGGGATGTCAGGGGCACGCCGTGGGGCTGACCTTTCTGTCTCTGGCTCTGTTTTGTAGTACAAAATTGGACAGCTGTACATGATCAGCAAACACAGCCATGAACAGAGTGACCGGGGAGAAGGGGTGGAGGTCGTCCAGAATGAGCCCTTCGAGGACCCTCACCATGGCAACGGGCAGTTCACTGAGAAGCGGGTGTATCTCAACAGGTGAGTCATGGCAGCCTGCGTTCTACACAGGAGCCCCTCCCACCTGACCCCATGGTGTGATAGAGGTGGAGGCATTGGGTGTCTGGGATGAAAAGATCACTTGGAAAGTCATTACGTTCACCCTCTATGCCCACCAATCTCATTGCTTTTGAAAACAGAATCTGCCTGGGCAAGGTAACCCATGCCGGTAATCCCAATGTTTTTGGGAGGCCAAGCGGGGAGGATAGCTTGAGGCCAGGAGTAAGAGGCTGCAGTGAGCTATACTCATACTACTGCACTCCAGCCTGGGGTGACAGAGCAAGACCCAGACTCTAAAAAATATTAATACATAAAATAAACAAAACAAAATCTCCTCGCCCCCACCCCCGACTTGCATTCCGCAAAAATAGTCCTCAACTGCGTTTCCCTTAAGAGCTCATCTTTCCTACCCCTTTGATGACAGATTATGATGAAATGTGATCTTAAGAATTCAAGAGCCTGGAAGGTGGAGGCTGCAGTGAGCCATGATCATGCCACTGCTCTCCAGCCTGGGCAACAGAGGAAGAACCTGTCTTGAAAAAAAAAAAAAGAATTAAAGGACCTTGTCTCATCCCTTGGTTCAGTGTTAGCTGAAGGAAGGAGATGGCGCTGCCTATATGCTGTAGACAAGTAAGTGCTGGAGGAGGCAGTGCGTCTTTGGGTCTCACTTGGGTGTCCAGAAAGGGAATGACAAAGCAAACAGTCACCTGTGACCTAAGTGGTAATGCATTGGTTAAGAGAGCTCCCACTTCTCAAGGGGACCCGTCGTAGAGGTTGTCACTCTCCTTTTGGAAGGGAAACACATCGAAGATGATAAAACAGCACTAATCAAGTCTGCCATTTCTGCTTTGCAAAGTGTATTCTTTAATCCCTTGCTATTTTCTTTTTCTTTTTTTTTTTAAGACAGAGTCTCACTCTGTCACCCAGGCTGGAGTGCAGTGGCGTGATCTCCACTAAATGCAACCTCCGCCTCCTGGGTTCAAGTGATACTCCTGCCTCCGCCTCCCGAGTAGCTGGGATTACAGGTGCCCACCACCACTCCCAGCTGATTTTTGTATTTTTAGTAGAGATGGGGGTTCCACCATGTTGTGTGAGGCTGGTCTTGAACTCCTGACCTCAAGTGATCCACCTGCCTCAGCCTCCCAAAGTGCTGGGATTACAGGCGTGAGCCACCGCACCTGGACTTTCTTGCTATTTTCTTATCATGAGTGGCATAATGTATTATTAGGGCTTGTCTGATCTCCTCCCCACCGTATACTCCTATCCAGCCCATTTCTTCCATTCAGTTCTTTTCTGGATTAGAATATTTGTGGTTAGATGCCATATGAAATATATTTTATTGGCTGAGTGTGGTGGCTCATGCCTGTAATCCCAGCACTTTGGGAGGCTGAGGATGGTAGGTCAGGAGTTCAAAACCAGCGTGAGTAACATGGCAAAACCCTATCTCTACTAAAAATACAAAAATTAGCCAGTCATGGTGGTATGCACCTATAGCCCCAGCTACTCGGGAGGCTGGGGTGGGAGAATTGCTTGAGCCTAGGAGGTTGAGAGCTGCAGTGAGCTGAGATCATGTCACTGTACTCCAGCTTGGGCAACAGAGTGAGAACCTGTCTAAAAAAAAAAAAGAAAAAGAGACACATATATGATACATATATATTTATAAATATATAATATAAAAATGTATTTTGTGTATCTATATATATTTTTTTGAGATAGAGTCTCTGTCACCTAGGCTGGAGTGCAGTGGCACAATCTTGGCTCACTGCAACCTCCACCTCCTGGGTTCAAGCAATTCTTTTGCCTCAGCTTCCTGAGTAGCTGAAATTACATACAAGTGCCCACTGCCACACCGGCTAATTTTTGTATTTTTTTAGCAAAGATGAGGTTTCACCATGTTGGCCAGGCTGGTCTCGAACTCCTGACCTCAGATGATCTGCCTGCCTTAGCCTTCCAAAGTGCTGGGATTACAGGAGTGAGCCACTGCCCCTGGCCAAAGAAATATCTTATTGAGATTAACTATCTGTTCCAGCAAACAAGTCTTACGTCAGCCATTTCATGAATACTTTTACCCCTACCTGTGGCCTCTCCAGTTGGCCCGTGTGTGATTATCCAGAAAGTATTTCCAACACCCTAGCTGGGCAGTGCCCCGGTTTATTCACAGACACTAGTGACTGTCCATTCTCAGGGCCTCGGACATGGTCAGATGGCTCTGAGAGAAACCATATTTAGATCTCACTATTCTCACCTTGGCCCCACTTCCTAGCAGCTTGAATTGGACTATTCCTTCTTGATGGGAGACTTTGGTTCCTGTCACTAGGGTGGGTGGAAGTCTCCCAGACCCGTGTCCTGACAGTGAAGGGCATGAGCTGATTAAACTGATGTTTTAATTTGCCCAGAGATGCAGTACCAGGGAATTCCTGAGTCACAATGAAATGCAAATGAGACTGATCCCATTCATCTATTAGTAGCTGTGAATTCCCAGGCTTTGGAACCAGTTCAGTGTCCAGCCAGCTGTTGATTTGCAGGGGCAGCTGGGCTCTGGGTCTGGCCTGGGTATGGCTTCTTTACAGAGACAGGTTTCTCAATGTGCTGCTTTAGCATTCTTAGTGTGGAGCGTGTAAATCAAACATTGAGCCAGTTTCTCCTCAGGGATCACCTCTGCAGAGCAGAGAAGTGAGGGAGAGGCAGGAAAATAGAAACCTATGGAAAATTCCATTTCTTGGCATCTAGTTGTATTCTCCCAAGTTATTACCTGGGGAATGTTCCCTATGTATGAAAATCAAGGAGAATTTTAGGAACTTTATAAGTTTTACTGAAACAAAGTAAGAAGCATCCAGCTCTTCCCGTCATGTCTGTTTTGTCATATGTATATTGTGTTTATTTTAAAGGAGAGTGATAAACATTCGTAAGAGGGAAATTTATTATAAATAGACGTGGACTTCCAGGAATAGTAAGTAAAAAGATTAATGGGGACACTCCACCACTTCTCCTGACAAACACAGGATAATATATAACTATGTAAAGAAGCCGAGCTCAAAACAAAGAAAGGGAAATCCTCCGAGGCTAGAAATAGAGAGGCAAACTGAAACTAGAGTGGAAAAGCAGACCCGCTAATGCTAAGGAAGGCAGGAACGTCAGAACAGAATGCCAAATCTGACATCTAGGGACTGGGCATGTTATGCCCATGAGGAACAGGAATCAGGGCCTCACCCCTGCATAAATGGAAAGTTGGAACTGAGAATCAGGCATACAGATAATTTTTGACAATCAAGAGCTGAGAGAGTTTACTAACTCAGACCCATATTGAAAGAACTACTAAAGGATGTGCTATAAGAAAGAGGAAACTAAGCCTAGGAAGAGGAGTGGGGATTTCTAGAAGTAATAATAAATGAAGAAATTGATAAACAACTAGGTAAATCTTTGAATGGATGTAGGATGTTTTCAAAAAGGTAATAATGAGAAAATAACACAGAATGTGGGAGAGCAATAATTATAGTAAAAAGCACTCTAAGGTGCTAATATTGTTTAAGAATTAGAGAAAGATGTTGAATAATTTTAGATTTTCTTTTCTTTCTTTTTTTTTTTTCCCTTGAGACGGCCAGGTCTGTTGCCCAGGCTGGAGTGCAGTGGGGCAATCTCAGCTCACTGCAACCACCACCTCCTGGGCTTAAGCGATTCTCGTGCCTCAGCCTCCCAAGTAGCTGGGACTACTGTGTGCACCACCACAATGCCTGACTAATTTTTGTATTTTTAGTACAGAGAGAGTTTTGCCACATTGGCCAGGCTGGTCTTGAACTCCTGACCTCAAATGATTCACCTTGGCCTTGGCCTCCCAAAGTGCTGGGATTATGGGATTATAGGTGTGAGCCACTGTGACTGGCCTAATTTTAGATTTTCTAAGACAAGTATGCACAGTCAAAATATAAAGGTAATCTCGGAAGGGGTAGTAAAACAATCCATAACCTCCAAGAGAAAACTTGATCGATCCACCAAAGGCAGAGGAACAAAAAAGCCTACAAAAAGCATGATCATAGAAAGCACAAATTTGAATGGTAAGATAAAATGAAATGGCAGATACTCACTTTTCTAGCCACCCCACCAGCTAGGGATGGCCATGTGACCTAAGATTTTTCCTCCTTGATCAAAAGAGGAATGTTCAAGGAGCTATCTTTGCTATTCAGAGAGAATCTGTTCTGATGTCTCCCCACTTCATGATCTGCATGTAAGAAAGTGGGGAGGATGGGGCTGACTGCTGGAAGGACAACTAATAGTGTCCCTGATAACAATACTGAACAGTAACAGTACCAAAAAGAAACTTACAGGCCAATCTCAGTTGAGAACATAGACATGAAAATACTACATAAAACATTAGTGAGGCCAGGTGTGGTGACTCACATCTGTTATCCCAGCACTTTGAGACGTCAGATTACCTGACGTCAGGAGTTCGAGACCAGCCTGGCCAACATGATGAAACCTCATCTCTACTAAAAATAAAAAATTAGCCTAGTATGGTGGCAAGCACCTGTAGTCCCACCTACCTGGGAGGGTGAGGCAGGAGAATCGCTTGAATCTGGGAGGTGGAGGTTGCAGTGAGCTGAGGTCACAACACTGCACTCCAGGCTGGGCGACAGAGTGAGACTCTATCTCAAACAAAAGACAAACAAACGAGAAAACTACTTAACAAAAAATTAGCCAATCAAATACCTCAGAGAATAATAATAATAACAATAATAATCACAGTGTATCATGACCTAATCAGATTTACCCCTGAAATTGATGCAATTAACATTTAATAAATCTGTGTACTTATTCAGAGTACAGTCAGGAATCCAACATTGTGTGAGGTCCTAGCCAATGCCATAAAACAAGAGAGAAATAAAGAGGGAAGGAAGAAACACAATGATCATTTGCAGATAATATGGTTGTCTAATGGAAATTTCAGACATTTTCTACAGGGGTTAACATCAATATGAGAATTCAGC